TACTCTCATCCTTTTTTATCCATATTAAAATGAATAATGGATGTATCTGACTGTCGCTTACAGGAATCGACGATATCGGTTTGGCCCGTTATGATCTTATCAGACCAATCCTCCAAAAAATGGAGAACCCGGAGCAGCTGGTATGTTCCCCCGCCCCCGTCAGCGAATATTTATGTTCATTTTACATAACTACCTATATACTGCCTCAGGCAATTTTCACTAACTCTAAATCGTTTATCATAGCATGAACTTGAACTCAAGTCGCCGCATCTCCTCGAGCATGATGCAGAGTTATGGATTGAGTTTATCAAACGCGATGTTCCCGGATTCGATGAACTCATCCTTCCCGAGAACCCTGATAGCTGGTACGACGTTTACCATGAGCTCCTAGAGAAAACCGCCAGGGAAGTAGATAAAGATGCAGAACGCATGAAGCTTGCGCTACTTGGCCTCGATTCCAAAAAGGCTAAACATGCTTCTAAAGTGGTGGATACGCGGAAAATGCGGCTTCCCAAGGAGAAACCAACCGCAATTCAACGGCACGCTTTTCTTGACAGGAAAATGGGTGGTATTTCTCCTGTCTTTGCCCAAGGAGCGGTGAAGCCATCTGGAGGTCGTGGGATCACCCCTTATGATCAATCCCCGCGGTGGAAATTTGAGAGCCCCAAGGCGCCACGGCCAGCTCCAAAGAAGTCAGCACTGCCCTTCGCAAAAAGGAACCAGCGCCTATGCATCCCCACACATCGTCTAAATAGCAGCGCTTCCCAGGTTGTGAACGCTCCCCGGTCGCTAATTGAGGATTACAAGCGACCTATTGAGCAAAATATCCCTCGACCAAAGACGAGAGACCCACGCTCTCCTTCTACAATTACAACAGCAACACAACCACCAACACCAACGAAAACACCAATAATTAACAACCTCAGCCTGAGGCCCGGTTCCCTCGATCATGGATCAAAGCAGTCAAAAATCCTCTGTCCGTCCCCATCCTCGCCTACCACCCCATCTCGCACCTCAGGAGTACGCAGGCAGAGTTCGCTAGTTTCCAAAAATGGGAAACGTGAGGAGGCGTCTGTTTCTGCCACATCGCCAATAGCCGTTAGGATGGCAGATGGCAGTGAACCCGGCGATGATAGCCATACCTCAACGGCCAAGACGTCCCAGACCAACACCGAGTCCAGGTTATCTCGCCCCACTGTGAAAAAACGAACGGTTTCGGAATATGTGCTTGTCAAGCCTAAAAAGAGACGACTGTTATAGCATATTATTTATATG